ATTTAATTCTTTTTTATTTTCTATTTTTCTTTATCTCAGCGACCCATAAGAAACAGCATTGCCATTTGTTACGAACGAAAGATGACAAAATCTGATGTATATCCGAACTTTTTTTAAGTGATTAATATATTCTAAGAATATAGAAGAAATGTGAAGGAAAATAATAGTAGTGGTTTTTTACGAAACCATTTCTTAATAAATATTTTCCTTTACATTTTAAGTGTCCAAATTTAGAAAAGACTTTATTTGTATTAATTATATTTTTTAAATTCAAAATAATATCAATTACTTAACGATTTTACACTTTAAATTTTATTTAATTTTTCATTTTCTATATATATACACTTTAAAACTATTATGACATTTGTTAAAAAGTTATTATTATTTTAAAAAAATTATAACACCTGAAAAAGAGGGAGTGAGAATGCAGAAAGGCAACAGTTGTGAAGGAAATATATTTTCATAAAATCTGGAATGGGATGCTGACTCAGCAATCTCCAACTTGAGGAAGTTCAAATAAGAAATATACGCAAAGAAACCTTCTTAAGTTGTGATGAACCATCTTTCTGAGATGGAAGTCACCTTTAGAAATCCTTTAACACACTTCATCCAAACTCTGCAACAATCTTACACCTTTTACTCACAAATTCCTCAACCGTTTAATTACAACCGTTTACATCATTAGTAACATTCAATGATGTTTAATTACAAAATAACTATCACATGATTAATAAATTAAACTAGTTAATCAGATAAGAAACATAAAATTATTTTACAGTTGTTTAATTCAATATAAAAACTAATTTTATATACAACGTACAAGTCTCAACAAAACTAGGTACAAGAATGATTCTCTATTCAAACCAAACAAGACAATTAAAAGGAATTTAGCTCCTAAAACTATTATGCGTCTCAGTTGTCTCCACCTAGTACTTGTTCAACAACTATATTATTTTTCTTTGTTTACACTCACCAGATGATCATCATCAACACAGTAATGTACAAGTACAAAAAGATACAAAAAGATAAGATAAAACATAAGGGAAACTAGTAATACAAAACAAATCATAATATGCATTATGTTTCATATATGAGTCATATTTTCACACAAAAACAACAAAACATCTTAACATAGATTGGACTATTCGGATTTAGAATGAAACATAGAGTATGGTAGGTTCTGCACTTGTGTGGTGGAATAATGACATACTCAAAGCTATCACACAAGGTTAGTCTGTTAAAGTGTCCTTTGTCAATTGGAGAAAAACCACATACTAGAACCTCCTGCTACTCTTACCACATGACTCATCTCTCTATTTGAACTTAATGATCATTAGAGCGTCATGATAACCTCTAGATATTAAGCTACATATATTCATCTAAAACACTTAATATCACCAATAAGAATTTTCTCCTTGGAACTCTTTTCCACACATTTCATTCACATTATGGAACTTTATATAACATAAAATGAATCACATGACACTGTTAAAGATCCATTAACAGTATATAAACAATGCATCAAGAATCACAAAAACAACCTAAAACACCATAAACAAAAAACTGCAAACAGGGCGCCATCAATGCCTAGAAAGGGGCCCAAAGCGCTAGAACCCACTAAAAAAAGGTGTACGAGGTGTTCAACGACCAGAGCTCTCAGGAAACAAAGGGCGCTTGGGTGCTTCAGCACTAGTGCTCTCAAAAAAAGGGTGCTTAGGTGACATTAGAACTTATATACTTCAATATGACATTTTTACCTCTTACACATAATAAATGGGTCCTACAACCTCCTATGTGAATGATCTAAGAACACATCTCTAACTCAGTAGCTACCCCAAACGAACTTGACTACTCTAAACTACCTAATTTCACTTCTACACAGTTCTATCATAATAATTAACCCCTAGGAGTCTAAACAAGTAAAAAATGGTCAACAATATACCCCAAATTCCCCAATTCACTTCATACCTCCTACCTAAATATCTCACTACTCAAAACCTCCAATTTGCACTTAAAACCATCCAGAACACCACTAATGGACTACCTCCTATTTGTAGATCAGATTTCAACTAGTTCACAACTCTAACAAGTTTCAATTAATATCACAATCGACCTGAAATATCATATTTCTCAAACCAACTCTTATCTCACAAACTGCCTATTAAACCTCCCTTTTTAACTACAAAAACCCATAAACTTTAATAACTCATACTCCATAAAGCTTGCAGCCAATCCCAGACATCAATACAACTTCACTAACATATAATTTAAGACAACCATAACATCAAAATTACAATGCATTAGAAATCAATCATCAAATACTCAACCATACTCATTTCAATGCACTAACACTAACAATTATTGTAATTATAACTAAATAAGCTTAACATACATACAAACACCAAAACTTACACAACAACCATAATTTAGAGATAGAAACTAGTCTTCTTACCTTACACCGAACTAACATAGCTCTAAAAACGCACCACTCTTTGCTTCCCACACAATAAACTCTATAAACACCTACAAATCACCAAATTGTGATAGGAAAGAGTCTTTAGAATCTATATTAACAAAGGATTAGGAAAAAAGATACCAATGACACATGCGTAGGGGTTTCCCTAAGCATGATCATAGACAAAGAATTAAAGGAAAAAGGGATTATAAACTACTTACTCTAAACCAAGAATGATCGGTAGAGATAGAGATTACTCACCGTAATCTCCTAGGAACTTCTTGACGTCAACAGATGATCGAGAAGTCAGATATATTAATAGAGAAGTGGAGATAATTAGGGGAAGAGTTTTAGAGAGTTTCATGTTTACTATTTTTTACTTAATATTGTTATATACAAATCATACAAATATATATTTTCTTATACCTGTCATTCCTCAATGTAAATTATATTTAATGGTCAGCTCATATAATTTGATCATGAAATTAACCTAAACCGTACTATAGAAATAAGCCGTTTAGGATTCAAAGGGATTCATAGCAATATGTGAGATAAATTGACGCTTTTAAAGATGATTAATTGCCATTTGACGAGGGAAATATATTCTAAATTCATATAAAAAACTAGTTTTTAATATCAAATATTTTAAAAGAAATTATAATTTTTATGTATTTTAAATTAGCCTATCAAATAAAATGTTAGATACAAAATATTTATTAAGTTTGAAACATTAATAAAATAAAATTCTATATAATAAAAAAGTAAGTATCCAAAATTTTTTAAAATATTTAAATGTTTCGTTATTTTTTCTTAAAATTTTAATGAAATATATTTTTATACACAACATAAAAATTATAACACATCACTTAATACAAAGAATAAATATTAAACTAAAAAAATTGAAATTTAACATATATATTTGATCTTTTTAACTTCAATTTATGTTGAATCATGATAAACAAGATTCATCACAATAACATTAAATTATTATATTATAATAAATAAAATGTCTTTATACAAGTGTGATGATAAAATTACATAATAAATTAAAAAATATAAATAATTATATAAAAATTATCAAAATAAATAATCTTACATGATTGTACCGTATGATTGTCCGATCACCTATCTAGACAATTAACTATTAATAAAACATTTGAACAATCCACCATTAAAGACCGCGACAGTCGACTGAGTCAACTGTCAAGATCATTAACTTAAGGTTGAACAAGTTTAAGGGTAAAAATGATTATAATTCAACTGGGACCTTTAATTAGGTCATTGTTAATTAGAATCTACACTTTAAAATCTATAAATATAGGTTTTAAAGTAAGAAGATAGGTGATTATATTGACTGCACCGTTAATATTGAATTGTCAAACATAAGTTGGCTGACATCCTTCCATATAATCTCTCCATAGATACTCTTCGAACAATTTTGAGAAACAACTACAAAAAGATTTAGAGCATAATACAACTATTAAAGCCCTTAGACAATCTTTTGGACATTAATATCAACATTTCACCCGAAACAATGGTAAAATAAACAACAAATAAAAGAATTAAAATAAAAATAATTCAATATGTGTTTAAGAAAAAGTGATTTGATACATAATTTAATAAAATTGTCTTAGAAAAATAAATGTATAATTAACAACGATAGAAAGGAATCTTAAAGAATCTAAGAACAAATTTTTAATACCAAATTAGTAAAAGTTTAAATAATCAAAATATTTTGAAAAAAAATCAATTGATGGACAATCAAATACTTTTATGTCAAAAAAATATATTAAAAAAATTCAAATATAAGTCATGTTACTATAACGAATAATTAATCATACAATCTATAAAGATATAGTATATATAAATTTAAATAAAATAGTAAACAAAAATAATCATATGACAAAAATATATATAAAAAGTACAAGGTTTTAATTGATCGTATTAAAATGAACAATAAGAATTATCCATACTCGTATAACTAAATTGAGTTTCCATATTAAAATAAAATCGTCATAAAATTATTTTATCCCGTTAATAGAACAAGGTTAAAGTTGAAGGTACCATCAACAATCGCATCTACGCAATAAACTTTAGTGATCCTTATAAACAACTAGTTATTGTAACAAAAACTTCAATGACGCCACGAAGACGATCTCATCTCGCATATCTTTAACCAAAGTTCCAATTGATGCTCATTTTCTAGACTTCTTGTGCCCTACGGAAGCACAAAACAGCTCATTGAATTTAAAACATGGTCAGAGCGTCTCTTGTAATTCAAAAGGTAGAAGCAGTTCCAACAGCTCAGGTACTTTTACCATCGATGGGATCTTCCTCCCTGGAAATCATGATAATTTTATTCCATATCATGACAATCCTAGCACAAAGCAAACGTTAAGTTATACATACGCCTTTTCAGAAATACAAATAAACACATAATTATCCATGAAAAAAATGTGAAACAGATCCTATGTCACGATATTACAACGCTACCAGCGTAAGGACACTGTTCCATGCAAAGTAGATTCCAAACATACCAGAATACTAATACCCAAAATCTTCAAATACTATTTAACATCAATGGCAATGGTTTCCTCTCCTGTCTTGGTTAGAATAATCATAAATTCACAATAAAATACAATACAAGCCACAAAATATGGCTAATTGTCCTACAATCCCCACTTCTAGTAGTGCATCATATTTTTCCCACAACTCTGGAAAGTAAATTGCTTTTCACACACACATACCAAGTGAGAAACTAAACAGTAATCTTCAAAATTGTTTTCTCAAATCAGTCCCTGGCGCTGTAAGTCAGTGTATGTTTTCTTATTATAGATGTTGCCTTCTTTGTCTTCATACTCTTCCTCTAGATCTGGGCGCCACTTGTTCACTCCTTGTCTTTGCTGTATCTTCTTCCAAAGTTCCTTTGCTTCCTGCAACAGAGTATGATAGCATGTAAGATACTATTAATCCCCTCACTTTATTTTTCCGTCCTTAGTCCAACATAGAGCTGAAGTGAGCGAATAGAGATATTCTAGCAATGGAATTGTTTATGACGACCCACTTTTCATCGCAAAATTACATAAAGATTGAACATAAACAATAAAAGGACAGGAGAAAAAACTGCCACAAGTCGGCTCAAAAAGATTTTGCCAATTATATACAGCTTTTTTAGCTGGGACCTGTTCAAGAAAGCAAAATTGCCCTTTGAAAATTGCTTTGCGCATTTCACACAACGGAGATCTTTTGAAATGTTCAGGTGTTACTAGAAATTAAATAATAACTTACTGATTAAAATCAAACCATGTGCTCATAATTTGGACACCAGTTTTTTAAGTTATACATCTCTCAAACCTTTTTTAATAAACGGCGTTCTACTAACAAGTACCCTAAAGGAATAAATAAAAAGTTCACTGGAAATGACAGCAGAAGCGCATTAGCAACATTAAATATTCCACTTTCTCATAAAAGAAACTTTTGATTAGCATTCTCTACAAAACAGTACATCAATGAAAATTTTAACGCTGGCTAATTAAGTTATTTTCAATTAGTTATAGACCATGGGAAAAAATATAATGTTCACGTGGACTATTTCCATTTGAAATCATGGGCTCAGTAAGACTCATTAACAAATATAAAATAATGGTGCGTTTGTATACACAGAAGATGAAAGTAATTTATGTTTAGCTTAAGAAATATACTACAGACTGACTGCCGGCAAGGGAATGAAATAAATAAATATATGCGTACCTCAATTGATGTGATCTCGTTGAAATTCTTGGTATTCGGTATACCAAGACACCGCATCCCATGTTGATGGCGCCATTCTTTAAAATGTCGTTCAAAAGCCCGACGCCCCCAATAACTGTAGTTCCCACATATCTCACACTTAAATTCCTGAAATACATATTACACTTCATTTAATAATCAAAATACTGTTGAGCTAATGAAGTATATAAAAATATTATTGTGAGCCACAAAGAAACCTACTATAACAAGTCCCATCTAACTGTGACATGATTCTACCAATAGTAGCAGCAGAGTAGTAACAAATATTCTTTTAAATAGTGATTTGAGTTCCAAATTGCTAATGACAAAATTAATAATGACCGGACCAGACCATGTAGCTTATATAACCAATAAGGTATTAGGTTTTCCATCCCACCCCATTGGTAATTTACGGGGATTTATATCTGCTGCTCGTCATCTTCGCTTTCAAGTTCATCTTTGTCTATTCCTGTTAAAGATCATATAATAATTTAATATAACGAACAATTAAATGAGCACATTTTATAGAAACATAGAGGAATAAAAGTAAACGGCAACATTTACATCGGAAGTCTGAAACTCTTCTCTTGTGAAAAGGGGACTGTGAAAATTAAAAAAAAAAAGTTTTTATGTGTCCAGATTTCAAATGACCTAAAAGAGACCTTTGTTATGCATCTAACAGTCAATTCTTTTGAAATTTCTACAGTCAATCACAAAAGGTTGGCAACAATGGTTTTAACAAGTGCCATACAAGAATTACCGCAGTAAATAATTTATTTCTCATGTTAACTCCTGCCAGATTGTTCTTTTTCTATTCAATCCTTTCATAAAAATGCCGATAGATGTGCTCTATAACAGCAGACTCCCTTCTAAAAACAGAAAAGTACAAGATTTAATGTATACTCAAGCCGGTAATGCACACAAGTGTACTCACAGTATTCGGTGGGATACAAATCCAAACTTATATTTAGGGGTGAATAATTCAAAAGTATATTATTGAAAAAGTAGAATGGCGAAGAAAGCCATCTTGGGATCGTGATGAACCCAGGTATTACTTGAATGACTGCCAATCTACCCGCCATTGCCTTCTTTAGATTTGTTTCTCAAATAAAAAAAAACGCCACCAGATGCTTATAAGCCAAACAAAAAATGCATATTATATTTATGGTATCCTAGATACAAAAAGATATTATCTAAAAAAAAGATGTTAATCATAGAATTTGAGCACAGATTCTAAATCAATTCTACAAAACTAGATTTGGTGAGAATTGTCCAGGCTTTATAAATTGGATTTATGTCATAGCTCTAGTTCATGTGGGACTAAATATACCCGTCAAGGCTGCAAATTAAGGTGCCTTCCCAACAATTAGGCTATTGCAATGCTGAATGAATAAAGCTAATTTGAGAAACTATTTTCAAATTAATGCAGTACGAATCACTGTTTTTGAGGATCATCACATTGCGTTGACTAAATGACTACTAACCTCCTCACGTTCTGCTTCCATTTCTTCATATGTTAGGGCCTGTTTCTTACAACATTATCTTTTGTTCGAGCAATTGTCTGCAGAAGGTGAGAAAAAATATACATCCAAAAAGAAATTTCGATAAATGCAATCATTATACATTTCCAAAATGCTGAAAAAAGACGACTTCGATGAAGTAAACTAAAGGAAAATAAGCAAAAAATGAACTAACCTCCTCTAACAAATCACACAGTTTTTCCATTTTAGCTTCCATCAATGCAATTTCTTTAGAATTTCCATCTTTTGTGAACTGGAGCAACCCTGTTCTTTTCTACACTACGTGTCCCCTTAGCAAAATGCTTCCTCTCCAAACTTTTTCAAGAGGTGTGTGCTGCATAAAAAAACAAACAGAAAAGATGTTATAGCAAGCTTTCAAGCCAGATATATTGCTATGGGCAGGGCATCAAAGCCACTTTAAACAAAATTCAATGAATCAAGGTCTCCTAGAACATATAGAATTTTGTAAGTCAAAGAATTTCAATTTAATTGTTATCTACCATGGACAACGGAAATGCCACTTATGAAATAGATAATGATTTCATTCTTCCACAATATTATTCAAATGTATGAGATAATGGCAAGCTGAACAAATAACGTTTTCCAGTATTTTAATAAAATAGAATCATGCAGGCATGAAGTTATATATTATGCCAAGAGCCCATTATATTACACATCAGCTAGTACTCCAAAAACTGTAATAGCTGATAAGGGTAAGGGACCAGAATGATGGGTCCAATTAAGTTCTAACATAATGAACCGTAGCAATTTGGGCATACAATTGACTCTGATACCTAAAAGCTTGGTCTTAAGGCAGATGAGTTAAAAGGCAATAGGAAAACAAAGTCCCACTAAAACACCATCATGACGTTAATTTTGACCTTTAGAGAGATACCATAGCAAAGATAATTTCAAATTCCAACTTCCTTCTACAGAAAAAAGAAAATATAAAAAAATACAAGGAGGAATGGAGGGTGTGAATAACCTTATACCATGTACAATGTTAGAAAATTACCTTGGTGAGGAAGAGCCATCTCAGCCCGTTGTTTGAATGTAACGCCAGTCTTAAGCCCTAATGCAGCCAGAGCCTATAACATCAACAAGAGCAGAAAAAGATGTAATCAATTCATCAGTTTATGATAATTGACAGAATACGTGCCCACTCAAACAATTATACAGAGTCTGAACTTTACCTCCTTTAAACCTTTCAGGACCACTTCTTCAGCTCTTCAACAGTACTATAATAATCAAGATCAATGGTCTCAGCAGGTACATGTCCATTTTCCTGATTGTCATTTTCCCATCCCCGTACCTTTCCAGCAGCCCAATTTTCTTCAAATTCAGTTGTAACCTGCAACATTTGTATTAGATTCGTCCTCCCATAAAAAGAGAAGATGAAAACAATGCACAAGGAATCCCCATTTCAATAAGATGAATATTATGGGCCAGTTTGCTTGAAATTCTCTTTCATAAAAATTACTTTGAAAAATTGTTTGTTGAAGCTTTAGAAAAAATAAAACAGATTTCTCACTTATTTTGAGAAGTCTTTTGAGTACTTATGGGGCGAAAGTGATAACAAAATTCTAAAATAAAAGTACTTCCGTAACAGTAACCACACAAGAAAAATAGCTTTTTCTTTTTATAAATTCTCCAGCAGACTAAGATTAACTTTCAAAACTTAGATGCACACCTTTTCACTATGCAATATGTCATTCAATATTACTCCAGCCAAGAAATGAAGGAACAGAATTGAAACATGAAGTAGGAATTGCTGAAGATGACTGTTGAAACTTAAAAGTTCATACTTAGCCAATAGCCAATCATGCATTTCTGTATAGAAAATATATAATACTGAAATCATAAAGTCATTTCAAAAGTCAACTCGATTTAGTTCAAAAATATATAACATAGTAAAGAATGCAATAGAAATTGGGACATGAAAGAAAAAAGACACAATGTTTTGATGTGAAATAATGTCTATAGACAACTTATTGACCTCTATATCCTTCTTAGAAGTTTTCCCAATAACTTTTTAGGTCTTCATCTATCTCTTGAGATTAAGTTACCCTCCGTCTAATCTATTAAGATCTAACCAGGTTTCTACATGTCCTAACACCTAAAACAAGTTTTCACCATATATTTACACATGTGCCACAACAACCTTGTTCTTATAATAAAAATACCCCATCAAAACCAATAATTACTACTTTTTCAGAGACGAAAAGATATAGTAGCAGAAGGCCTGAGTACTTGGAAGAAATTGGCACAAAAACTATATCATATTACAGGACAGGTGGTAGACCAACAATATCACCGGATTGATCTGAAACAAAATTTTCAGAAATTAAACCTAATGCAAATCAATCAAAACAAAGACTTCTAAAGTTTCTATTCCCACATTTTGTTAATTATGTGATGAAAGAGCTTAAAAAGAAAAAAGCTATACGTACAGTGATGCTCAAAATTAAGCCAAAAATGCTACAAGTTTAAAACAGAGGCCAGAGAACATTAAAAACCTTCGAGAAAATTCGATCAAGATCTTGCAGTGGCTCGGTACGCTGGAAAAAGTATATGAGATACTCCAAAAGATTAACCATATATTCTCGGTACTGTCTGGAGATATCAAACAGCAAAATATTAGAAGCTTATACAAATACAAATACAAATTTCATACAAAACTAGGATCCCCATAAATACCAATTGATTGTCAAATTAACTCGATAGAGAATACATTCACCTGGTCACTTTCATTTTGCGGGGAATCTTATTTGTGTCTGAGAAAACATCAAGATATGCAGAATACTCAAGTGGCTCTCCAAACTTAGAATTGACATACTGATAATATAATTCATGCAGGTCTAAGTATCGACCAAGAGCTTCATAAAGA